CTACAGGTGCATCTAGTACCATGTCAAGAGTTAGATAGCCCCTGAATGTCTTGATGTTCAGAAGTGGCTTCACCAAGGAGGCAGAGTAGACCCCTCAGTATGACCTAAAGAATTTACTCAGAACATGAAAAGAAGTTAGTAAAAAAAAAAAAAAGAAAAAGAAAAAAGTGAAGAGAGAAGAGGAGAGAAGAGGAAGAGAAGAGGAGGAGAAGAGGAGGAGGAGAGGAGGAGAAGAGGAAGAGAAGAGAAGAGAAGAGAAGAGAAGAGAAGAGAAGAGAAGAGAAGAGAAGAGAAGAGAAGAGAAGAGAAGAGAAGAGAAGAGAAGAGAAGAGAAGAGAAGAGAAGAGAAGAGAAGAGAAGAGAAGAGAAGAGAAGAGAAGAGAAGAGAAGAGAAGAGAAGAGAAGAGAAGAGAAGAGAAGAGAAGAGAAGAGAAGAGAAGAGAAGAGAAGAGAAGAGAAGAGAAGAGAAGAGAAGAGAAGAGAAGAGAAGAGAAGAGAAGAGAAGAGAAGAGAAGAGAAGAGAAGAGAAGAGAAGAGAAGAGAAGAGAAGAGAAGAGAAGAGAAGAGAAGAGAAGAGAAGAGAAGAGAAGAGAAGAGAAGAGAAGAGAAGAGAAGAGAAGAGAAGAGAAGAGAAGAGAAGAGAAGAGAAGAGAAGAGAAGAGAAGAGAAGAGAAGAGAAGAGAAGAGAAGAGAAGAGAAGAGAAGAGAAGAGAAGAGAAGAGAAGAGAAGAGAAGAGAAGAGAAGAGAAGAGAAGAGAAGAGAAGAGAAGAGAAGAGAAGAGAAGAGAAGAGAAGAGAAGAGAAGAGAGGAGAGAAGGAAAAAAAAAATCTGAAAGTCTGAACTGCAGCAATCATCACAACTCCAGTGGTATTTTGTGTAGAACAAAAGCCATAAGGGAGATGATAGTTAAGGCTTTTCAACATAGAGACCTACTGAAAGACACCATCTCACTCTGTTTTGTCACCTACTTACCTATTTGTTCTTCTTTTTTTTTTTAAAAAAAAAAAAAAAAACAAAAAACAAAAAACAAACATAATTAATTTTATTTTTAGGCATAATTGGGGCTGTTTCCATGTTTCAGTACAATTAGTAAGATGTCTGTGATTATTCCTCTCTGTCCAATCTTACGCTCTGATTGCTGTTTTTTTTTTGTATTTTTGGGGTGAATTTTCACCTGCTTCTTTTTCTCTGTCCTTCCCTCTATTGCTTTTCAACACCTTCTGCTCCCTAAAATTACTAGGTCTCTGGGTGTCTGTGTTTGGATAGCAGATCACCTTCTACGGTCTGCGGCTGCTTCACTGCCTAGCAGAATATTGATTTTTTTTTTGCAAAACACACTGTAGAAAGAGAGGTGCAGAAATCAATATTTCATTAGACAGACCAGAATACAACAATATCTGATCCACAGACCTAGGGCATGGAGTAGACACTGTAGGATTAAGGTTGTGAAAAAAAAAGCAATAGTAGCATCAGAAAGGAAGAGGCCAAGGCATAGAGCTGGGACAGCAGGAGTTTCTTTGTGGACATGAGCACAGGTTCCTCGCAGCGAATGACTTAACATGTCACTTCTCATATGTATCATGTACTCGTTGTCATCTGAACCATGGGAGAAGGCTGGAACCAGACACAAGCTCAAAAATAGATGTGCTGTCTTCCAGGATCACCCTTCCTCTCTTGCTCCCCTTGTATCCCAGCAGAAATTTTCATCCACACAACTTAGACAGTTCATATAAATGTACAGGATGAGAAAATTCCTCTCTGATCTAACACACATTACAGACAGGACCTTTTATTCCTTTCCTCCCACGCAGAACAAAAGGCAGAATTCTAATCTCATGGGTGCAAATGCTTTAAAGAGTGAATCCTCACAAACCAGCACAATTTGCTTGAAGAAGTAGGAGCTCAGTCACATAAACTTCATCAGGCACACCTGAAGGGATGGTGCCCTGGCAGAGAGGAAGGTGGGCACGGACTGAAAAGCTTTTCAGGTGGAATAGCCATTGATGGGGATGATCTCTATCTGTAATCCTACTGCACAGATACTCAGTTGATCTGGGCAGACACCTACCAGGGAAACAGCAAACTCAATCTAAAATGAAAGGAATTAAGGAATATGGGTCAAATTTGGTAAATAATTTCATTAAAAAGCATAAAAAGCAGTGCAGAAAAAGAGAAGCTTTTAATTTTCATATTCCCAAAATGAAATATTTAGACTTTTTATGTCAAAACAATACTTGCATGTTCAAATTTAGCTTTCTTCCCTCAAAAAGCTATAGAGGTTTAAAAGGAAGTTTAATAACCCTGTTTCCCTTTGGTTTGAGCTCTGACTGAAATAAAACAGCATTGGTTTCTCCTTCTGATTTTTTAGGCTTAGTTCTGACACATGGACTTCCATCCATCATGAGTGGGGATGTGGGAAGTCCATCTATACCCATTTTATGCTTTTGTGGGCTTGGATTCCCTCCCCCTTTCCCACTCTTATATAATGCTGATCTTAAGCCTCTGACAAAGAGGGCTTCTGTTAATACATCTGAACATTAATCAATTGGACACCATCTCAGATAGTCCCTAAGACATTATTGAAAAAATTCGTGCTGCCATCCCAAGAGAGAAGCAGCACGTGGGTAAATTAAATGCTTATCTGTTCATTAACAAAGGAAAACACAGTGCAAAAGATTTTTAAGTGTGTGGATTTGTTCAATTAACAATCCTGTTTTGTCTTCAGCTTTCTAAGCAGTATTGAGAGATATTTGTCATTGTCTGTTTTTTCTAATAAAATTTCACAGTGTTCTGAAAAAGTCTTTTGGTGCATGGTTGAGGAATTTGCTTGTCTGGTCTGAGAACCATGTGATCCAGTAACTTTTTAACATCTCAGTACAGAGCTGATTCCCAGTTCTATATTACTTTCTAGGGGTTAGTATGTAAATGAGTTGTCTACAGATTTGTTTTTTTTTTTACAACCAACTGATATTCTTTACAAGTCAAAGATCAAATATTTAAGTTCACTTGTGTAGTTGAAGAAACCTGTGAAATCTTGGCACTAATTAATATTTTCAGTTAGATCCCCAGATTGCAGCGCTCTACTGTGGGCAAAGGGATGGTCAGTGGAGTTTGTGGAGGATTGCCATTGATTCCAAGGGGATTAGAAATCAGTCTCACAGATCTATTACTTTAGCTTTTGATCTTCATCTAGTACTATTTCTACTGAAACTCATGCATGTAATTTGATTTCTTTTATAGATGAACTTCATACTTAACCATCTCATCTGACTTTTTTTGAACATACACATACAAAAAAAAATGTTTTACATGTTAAATTTTACAGGTTATTTTATTAATGATGCTGAATTGATTCTGAGCATTTGCTGAAGACATACTTCATAGAATTGTTTGCATGGGTGTTTATGGTCTCAGTAAAACAGGCTCCAGATTCACCTTGGAAACCTGGGTAATCTTAGATTGCAAATAAAAACATAACCTTTAGGCAAAAGGAATATGTGCATATGCATAAATATATACATACATATTTGTATGCATTTCTGTATGTATGCATGTGGGGGTGTGATACGATTTCCCAGAAGATTGAAGCTACAGTGAGGTTTGTATCTCCTGTCACATAAAATAAGTAATCAATGCCAATAGTTAGAACAGAAGAGTGCCTTTTATGCCAGAAAGCCTGACTTTTCACTTCAAATATTTCAGTGGCTGTCATTAAAAAAAAAAAATCCTTACTCAGTAGCACTGATTATTTTATATGCTGTGCTGAGCTGTGTCTCACTGTTCAGGCAGTTTCAGCTTTGCTTTTTCTATGGGGTTGGTGCGAGTTTAACATGCTGTTGAAGTAAGGAGTATGTAGAAAAATACGTGCTTTGCCTTTAATTCTAAACCCCTAGAACAAGGATTTCTGTCTTACAAATGAAACCAGTGGTAATACATCTCTTTTGAAGCAGTACATTGGAGATAAGACAGACTCAACAAAAAATAAGGGATGACTCCTGTACCCAGGGCTGTATCAACAGAAGTGTGGCCAGCAGGTTGAGGGAAGGGATTCTCCCTGTCTACTCGGCTCTCATGAGACCTCCCCACAGTGCTGTGTCCAGCTCTGGGGTCCCCAATATAAGAAAGATGTGGACCTCCTCGAATGGGTCCAGAGCAGGTCACGAAGATGATCAGGGGACTGGAGCACCTCCCTACTAAGGACAGGCTGAGAGAGTTGGGGGTGTTCAGCCTGGAGAAGAGAAGGCTCCGAGGAGACCTTAGAGTGGCCTTCTGGTACTTAAAGGGAACTATGGGAAAGCTGGAGAGGGACTCTTTATCAGGGACTGTAGTGATAGGACAAGGAGTAACAGTTTTAAACTGAAAGAGGGTAGATTTAAATCAGATATAAGGAAGAAATTCTTTCCTGTGAGGGTAGTGAGACACTGGCACAGGGTGCCCAGAGAAGCTGTGGCTGCCCCCTCCCTGGAAGGGTTCAAGGTCAGGTTGGACGGGGCTGGGAGCAACCTGGTCTGGTGGAAGGTGTCCCTGCCCATGGCAGGGGGGTTGGAACTAGATGGGCTTTAAGGTCCCTTCCAACCCAAACCATTCCATGATTCTATTCGATGATTCCATGACTCCAAACAACATAGAACTTCTTTTTACTCTTTAGTGAATAACTTGAGATTGTATCATTTATTCAATTAATCTGGTTCATCACAGGTTTCATTGTAAGCATTGTATATAGAAATCTTGAAACTATGGAAAAGGCTTTTAAAAATAAATGTTATTGATGACTGTAATTGCTGATAGGTAATTAATAATTTGAAAATCAGTGTAACCGTTATTCAAGCAGTGGAATATGGACTCTGGAGTTTTACTTACAGTTAATTTTTGAAAGCTGTTTATTAAGGAAAGTAAACTTTTGATGTTGCCTACAGAAAAGCTTAATTATGCATAGGAAATGTGCAGCATAGTGTAATTAATATTGACTAATCAACCTCTTTTTCTCTTTCACTTGCAGGAAAATATAAACATCAATGAAGCTTCCAGATGCTTGGTGAAACACATAATTGCTAGTGAGAGTGATCCAGTTCAGTCTATTGAACCAGATATTATAAAACCACACTTGAATTCCTCCAAGATTGTCAGTTGTTCAGCTTGCTTTAAATCCTAAGAGACTTCCCGACTATTACAAGAGCTGCACAACTATGATTCACAATTTATTCAAAGTACCCAGCCTGCCCAGATTGTCCATAAGCAGATTGCCATTTTCTCAAAAATATACTTAAATTTTTCCATATATTTTTGACAGCTAAAATTTATTATGAGCTTTTTCATTGATAGCAATATTCAAAACTGTCTGGCTACTGGTCAAATAAGACTCATGATGATGGCTGTGTTTTCATGGTTGGGTAGCACCACCAGTGACATCAAAATCTGTTTCTTTGCAATGTGGTTTCTGAAAACTAGTATTTGTGATGTGACTGCAGCAATACCCTATTTGTCCATTGGTCCTCCATCCTTTCTTTTCAATACCTTGGCCAGAAAACAATAATCATTACACTGTTTTGTCACCCCTAAAATTTGAACAATCTTGTTTCTTATGAGGAAGGTGATGATGACAATAAAAATATAGCTGTTCAGAAAGAGACAACAAGAATGTTCCCATTCCAAGTTCAGTCTCCTGCATAAAGTGACTGGCAGGACTGAACACGAAACAACCCTTCACATCATTCAGTTCTCCAGAAGATCTCAGCTCCTGAGACTGAATCCTGATATAGTACTGGCTCATTCTTTCTGAAGAGTTACATTCTTATAGTTGTTAGCATTGTCTTCAGATGAAGTAAAATAAAACAAGTTAATGTTGCAGGGTGGCAAAGCAGAGAATAGGGGGTACAGTCTCATAGGTGAAGCAGCTGAGAGTTTTCCAAAAGGTTATATATGTTATAAAGCCAGCCTCTCCTCTGAAAATTACTCATTGATTTTGTTCACGTCTTTCCATCCTTCATGTCTCAAATGTCCCTGTGTGTTTAAACTGTGTATATTCTATAAGTCCCTCCATGCATCCTTTCATTATGTTGATTCTTGTGGGAAAATTCACTATCCACACTATAATGTAACAGCTGAACTTTCCAGGAATACATCTGTTGAATAGCAGGGTATTCGCTTTCTGAGAACACAATTATATGAATAATAACAGGAAGCAAAATGAAACAGTCTTAAGAAATGTTCCTGGAATAGGTGCAGAATTTGTAGAGCTGTCCTGCAGAAATTAAATGGTTGACTTTCAGAGTCTCACAAAATATGCAGGTTGTGGAGTCATTCAGACAAGTGTGTCTAGACAAGAAGTCTTGACATCTGGCTTCAAGCCCCTGCAAGACAAACTTTGCCTGTCTCTTGCTGTAGACAAATCACTTGCATTTTCTGTTACTACTCAGCCTTTTCCTTCCTAATCTGTGAACTCTCAGTGACAGGAGCTGTCTTCTGAGATGGGTTTCTCTCCTTAGAGATGTGTAACACTGTGGAGGGCAGGAGGCAGAATCTCATGATGTCTTGTGTTTGCAGACGTCACTGCAACACTTCACTGAATACGTAGTTGAAAATGAAGGATTGAAACTCTCAAAGGCTAGTAAATAGGTGCTGTCTATGAAAAAATTTTTAAAAAAATCCTCAAGCTGACCTTATTCTGTGAGATTTATGGGGTTTGTGTGTCTCTAAACATCTTATTACTTGGCAGTGTTAGGTTTATGGTTAGACTTGATGATCTTAAAGCTTTTTTCAAACCTAAATGATTATGATTCTATGATTCTATTACTGAATGATCTGTTACTATATAGGCACTGCAGAGGAGACCTGGGGACAGAGAGATAGCTCCTTATGTGCTCTTCTTAAAGCCTTAAATTGATATATTTGTGTCACAGAATTTTAGAATAAGAAAGCAAGGTCTGTGGTTTTAAAAATAAAAATTCATATCCAGAATTAATCCGCACACACACATAGATGTAAGGATCCATATATACCATGAGTTGGCTTTTTTTCAAGGAGAGTAATTTTCATGTTGTCTAGATTGCAGTGTTATCCTTTAACATCCTTTTTAAACATCCTTTAACTCCTGCTGTGATCTAGGTCAAATACCTTAACATTTCTGCCTCAGTTTCATCATCTGTAAAATAGGGATTGATGTACACACCTACCTCACAGCGCTCCTTGAAAGTTACTGTTGGCACTGTGCTTTGAAGATATATGTTATACAAATGTCAAGCTCTATTAGTGTTCAGAATGAAATATGAGTGCCCTCTAGCATAAATACATGGTGCTGTAATGCCTTAATGTTCTAAATCTATACAGTGCTTGTCTGTGCTGCAACAATTAGCTTCAATTATTCCACCTCAGTTAACCTAGTTCAGGTTATGAAGCAACATGTGACTGCATGGGATGATTAGATTAGCTGCAGATGGGTTGCAAACGGAAACTGTGGCTGCACAGATGTCATGGCGCTAGTTTATTAATCTCAACAGCAAAGCTGCAGCTCAGAACTTATGCCAGGCCAGCTATTTCAAATTTAAAGCATTGTTTAAGCCAAGTTGTATGGATGCCTTTTTAAGAATAACACTTAATTCATACCTTGAGTCAATACCGTGGGAAGCACAAGCACCTAGATATTCAGATGGCTTCTAAAGGGATAAGTTTTCATCAGCTGAACCCCATGCTTTACTTATAAATCTGTATGCATCTGGTGAATCAGAAGAAGTTGTAATTTCTTCCAAAAATTATTTTGTGCCCAACGTGCAACAAACTTAGCTGTTGCTAATGTGTTTTAATTATCTTCAGATCACTTGTCTTTGGTGGCGTCTAGCCAATATTCATTAAGCACAATGGTAACTTCCACAAACATTTGAGAGCTGTGGCTAAAAATATGGTATAACAGAAATATAAAAATGACATAAATAAAACACTTAAAGGACATATAGTTTGGGTTTGGGTTTTTTTTTGGTCTGTTGTTTTTTTGTTTTGTTTTGTTTTTTTTTTTTTTTGTTGTTGTTGTTGGGGTTTTTGTTGTTATTGTTTGTAATTCACTGTGTTGTATAAACCTGCTTTAAACTATGAACTCATCATCTGTTCCCCTTATTTCTGTTGTATCAGGTTTCACTGCAGTCACAGTTCTCGGGCAGATTTTCCACATCTGATAGATGGTGGTCAGAATTTGGCCAATTTCTAGACTAAGGACTATATGAAGTATAAGTTCTGAAATCATACATATTTACATCATAAGAATTAGAACAGTATCATGAAGAATCAGGCCTCCTTAGGAAGTTGTATAATTCCAAATGTTCATTTTTATTTGTACTGAAGTGATAAGAATCTGTCAAGTCTCTTTCTATAATGCAATAAATGTGTGAATGCCACCTGGGTATCCAGCAAACAGAACCTTTTTAGAAACAGTTGTCATAAACAGACCAGAATAAAAGCTTCAATTCCGAATTAATGAGCTCAGTTTGTGCCAATACCCTTTCAGGAACAAATGTAAAATTTAATTATACTGTGTCAGTCACTAACAGGTTGGATTTCCTTGTTTTTTATTGATACATTCTGTGCTATGTCCTTTTAGTTGGTCATTAGGGATCAGGCATCTTAATTGCATGGCCACTTCAAAATGAAACCTGTTCCCCTTCTGTTTGTAATAAGTAATAAAAGACATGAGTGTCTATTGACTTCCAGATGGGCAAAGATACTGCAAAGTGGATTTAAAATTAGTTTTCATTCTAGTTTTCCATAAATGCCCCCCCCCCCCGGGTGTCCTAACATCTAGAACCATAAGCTGATGCACAGGTAAGGTGTCAAGCACGAGGCATCAGCCCAAAACACTCATGGAAAATGGTGGTTGAGCATCTCTATTCCAAGGCTTCATTTACCGACTCAGGCACAACATCAGTAATGACAGGATGTCTTTCATTTTCCAGCTTTGAAGCTCCATACAAATCTCATGATCCTAAATACATTGGAAAACATATACATATTATTGATAGGAAAATGGATGGAGTGAAAGGTAAATATTATTCTTTTATTCCAGAAAGATCATTATTTATTTGACCAAGTTGAGCTTTCAATAGGAAGCCATTTGGACTCTGAATATCAGCCTTCGTTCTTTTCATGCACCATTTTTTTAGATCATATATTTTCATTGAAACTTGCTATTCAGGAATAGTTGTTCCCAACAGTACCTTGTGTATGCAGCTTGAACTGTTGTACAACAGTATTTTATCAGACTTTTTTTTTTTTTTGGCTTTTATTTTAATCTACCTGACCATATAAAAGGGGAGGGAGGGAGAAAGTGCATTTTAAATTGCTGTTTTATTTTACTTCTTAAAACAGCTTGTCTAGCTGGATGAAGTGAAGTTGGTAAATATATGTGGGAAATGCAGTTTTATGTCAATTGCCAGGAAACAATCGATGAAAACGTATTTTACTGCACCAATATTTATGCATGTGACCACAGGTTCTACTGTAATAAAAGGTGATATTTCTGACAGAGCATGGAATATGAGTGTCTTGTAAATATTCATTAATCAAAGTGGAGCACATACAAGTAGCAAGCAGCTAATTCTGCTTTCCTCATATGTAGCCAATCTCTGATACATATACAAAAATAGTTTCATTTAAACTGTTTACTTTCTGTACAACATTTCTTTTAAACCATCCAGGTTAGTGTTTGACATTGATTAAAGGGTTACATATCTGAGACAGAAACTTTCCACCTTTTCTCCCTTCATCATCCTATTTGATATGCAATTCTAGATGCAGCTTTTATGGCTTCAGCTCTTCAAAGAACCTCAGTTGAAAGTCTGATTTTACAGGCAGAATTTTTGGCTCACAAATAGATGCATCATTGGTTTTGGGGCCTTATTATTAACCACACACTCAATTCTTGGAACTCTGACTGGGTAATAAATGGCCTATGTTTGCAAATTGGGCAGCTGCATATCTAGGATGTAGTAACTGCATTTGTCTTCAGCTGTCATGGCAAGCTGTTATCTGCAGCAATGTTACACACTTGACCTTCCATGATTCCTTAGACTGTTTTATTAATTAGGAAAAACAAAGGAGGTGCTTGCCTGCAGTGTGAGGCTAGCATTCATTTTACAGTTTTTAACTTTCCAACAACAACAACAAAAATAACATTCTGATTTCATTGTCTTTTTCCATAACACAGCCTGACATTTTCACACCCTATGGCTGGAGGTGCTGCAAGACCCACAACAAATCCTCAGCATTTAGTGACACTGTTACAGCTACACTGACCAATCAGCTCATAACGAGGAAATATCTTTGATTACATAGTTTGGGAATACTCATTTCCTGAAAATCATCAAATCATCTCCTTTACAGTTGCAGTACATCAGCTGCCTAATTAAGATTGGAATCTCCATGTTTTATGTTTCAAATACAGTAATAATAGTTTATGAAGATAAGCTATTAAACTGAGCAGAGCCATAGCACGCGACTCCCTGGAGTGGAAGCTAAGCAAATGAACATTTCCTGGTAGACTTCTCTGCATGACAATATCAGGAGAAAGTTGTTCTGGTCTGATACTTGCCTGGTTTCTTCCAGGAAATGAGTTTTCACTTAGCCATAGTAGCTCAATTCCACAGCAATTGGTAATATTTGCACCTGGAATCTACAAAGTTTAAGCAGTTTTAAAAGACAAGCTACAATTTCTTTCAGAAGTGGCATCTTTGCTGAAGGTTTTAAAAATCAGAGGTTCCTAAATATTTTCTCAGGTACATAAAAGGTAATTCTGAGTATCTAGCTCCTATGCTAATCTATCCAGGTATCTTCTGATTTTGGGGATTCATGCCTTTGGCTTTCACAAATAATGCAAAGAAAGGGCCACTGCAAGATATTCTTTTAGCAGAGATGCTTCAGCCACATCCAAAGTCCTGCAAAGGAGATGAATGTAATGAATGGGGAGGCAAAGAATGCAACCAGAGACAAGCTGGACAAAAGCATCTGGGACCAGTTCAGGACCAATCTGAGAAACACTGAAGGGCAATGAAAATGCTCAAGTTCCTTCACAATATGCAGAAATCACTTCATGAAAATCTGATGTGGTGTTAAACTTTTATCACTTAGAGGTCTATGAATTTTCTAGGGCACAGAGAGCTATGTTTTTAGCTGTTGTGCCTTGAAATTTGCTTCTTTTCTGACTACCTTGTCAAAAATGCCTAGTTTCGTGCAGGAATTCTTGGCCTTTGGTGCCATCACATCTCCTTGTCTTGACACCTTGATGAGGAGCTTTTGCCAGTCATTAGGACTGAGGCTGTTGTGGTTTAACCACAGCCAGCAAAGAGTCACACAGCCACTTGCTCACTCCTCACCCCAGCAGAGTGGGGATAAGAGAATTAGAAGGTTAAAAGTGGGAAAACTTATGAGTTAAGAACAGTTAATAATTGACATTAAAAAAAATATTACTACTAATAATAAATTATAATGAAAAGGAAAATAACAAAGAGAGAGAAATAAAACTAGAGAAAGACAAGTGATGCAAATGGCAACAATTACTCACCACAAACCGACAAATACCCAACCAGTGCCTGAGCAGCAACCCCCCCACCAACAACCTCACCCTTAGTTTATTGCTGAGTATGACGTCAGTCTGGGATATCCCTTTGGTCAGTTGGGGTTAGCTGTCCCGGCCGTTTCCCCTCCCAGCTTCTTGTGGCCCCCCCAGACTCCTCACTGATGGGGTGCTGTCCTGGTTGGGGCTGGCCTAGCGCTCCCGTTGGTTCGGCAGCGGGAGGAGCTGCAGCACCCTGAGACCCCAGGGGCTCCCCAGGCCCCAGTGCCCTCACCTGTGTGCGGGGGCGGGGGGAGCACAGCTGGAGGGCTGGGACCCGATTGGCCGATAGTCCATGTCATGTGACACTGTGCTCACTATATAAAGGCAGGAGTGGGCCAGGAGGGGCTCTTACTTCTGGGAGTGCTGCTGTGGGGCCTTTGTGTTGGGGATCGCCGGCTGGGAGCAGGTGGGTCTTGGTTGGTGGGTGGTGAGCAGCTGTGTTGTACATTACCTGCTGATACTGCTGTCAGCGTATTGTTCTGTTACTGTTATTAAATTGTTTTTATCTCAACCCGCGAGTCTCCCTTTGCCCCTCCGATTCCCTCCCCATTCCCAAGTGGCGGGAGGGTGGGTGAGCAACTGCGGGGCGTTTAGCTGCTGAGTAGGCTCAAACGATGACAGGTGGGGTGAGGAGCAGAAAAGGCTTTGACTCTGTGTGAGCCCTACTCAGCAGTAATTAAAACATCCTTGTGTTATCAACAAGGTTTCCAGCACAAATCCAAAACATAGCCCCATACTAGCTACTGTGAAGAAAATTAAGTCTACCTCAGCTAAAACCAGCACAGAGGCTCTTTCACATCATGCCTCTAAGAGCCTCTTGTCTGCATTAGCATTTCTGATCACCAGTGACAGTTGATATCACTGCTACACATGACTGATAAAGACAAAAGATACTTTAAATCATCCATAAACCAGTCTTCAGGCAAAGCTTGCTAATGTGCCTTTTCTGATCATAACTGGCATTTGAATGAACTGAAGAAGTTAGAAACATGACATAAGCTAAAAAAATGTCTCCCAAGGCAACGGCCCCTGGAATTCTATGTCTGATGCCGGGCAATATATAGGTTATGGGTATTAAAAGTTTTATCTAAGCCCAGTTGGCATGTCTATTCTACCCTGGGGATTTTAACTCTGGGAGGAAAAACTTGATTCCACACCTGAGTGTGGTGGTTGGAAAACACAGCACATAGCCAGAATGGGTGGGGAAACAGCAGTATTAAATGTACTGCATTATTTTATGAATTTCTTCAACTTTCACTGACAAAAACAAGATATTGACAGAAGTGGACTATTTGACAAGACCCTGTATCTTCCCTGGGAACCATGTGTATAAAAGGTGCTATTTCCAAACAGAAGTAA